GCCCAGCCTGACGTGCCCCGCTGAGGGCTGGTGGCTTCACTGTCTAAACTTCAGCGTCTTCTCTGTGGGCTGTGATGGTGCAGCTTGACTGCAGAGGGTCTTTCAAACCCTCCTGAAAGTTTGTCCATCTTGGGTATCGGGCTCTGCCGTCTGCTTTCAGAGCAGGGTCTGGCATCAGACCTCGCCCGATGAGCTGCTGTGGCACACCCGTGGCCCTCGGGGACGTCCGGACCGACGCCACCCCAGTTGGACCCTCCCCGCACCCCCAGCTCAGTTTGCTGTGTCATGAAGGGTCAGGTCTAAACTGGATTGATCTGAAGGTCTTTCCCAGTGACATGCCATGGGACTCAGGTTTTCCAGTCCATAATTTTGGGTAGCACTGCTCTGTAGCACTGTCCTCCCGTTGTTCATTGATTTGCTCTTGCGGGCCCAGTAACATTGTGAGACTTATGGTTACTGTGTTTGGCATATCGAATATGTCACGGGTAGCTTGCCAGGCTTTGCTGTGTGGGCGAGATACTCTCGGTAGCTTGCCGGGCTCTGCGAGAGGGGTGGAGGAATCAAACCCGGGTTGGCCAGGTGGGCCGTGTGCAAGACAAACACCCTACCCACTGTGCTATCGCTCCAGCCCAGTCTTGTGTAATTCTGTTTAATAGGTAGCACATCCACGTCATGGTTCCTTTTAGAGCACAACAGCTTTTCTTTTCCTGCCCCTCACCTTCCTGTTCCTTCCCCAGAGAAAAGTCTGTTTTGCTTCTTTTTGTTCTTTCACAGAGCGTCTTTTGAGATTGCACACGCACATATATATAGCTCTATCTTTTTTTTCTTCAGAAATACTCACACGGAGACTCAGAATATGTTATTCTGCACTTTCCCCCTTCATCGTGATGTTTAAAAATTTCCCACGGAGCTTGATGCACGTTTGAAGAGTTCTGTATCTCTCCAGCCCTGCCGGAGGCGGGGACGGGCCAGGAGCATCACTCAGAGTGCAGATCTCCGTGAGCCATAGAAACTCGTCAGGGTTTTGAAACAAAACAAGATTTTATTGTTCATTTTTCTGTTTGTGGAGGACATGAGGAAATTGTTTTTCTGAAAGGTGATAAAGGAAATGGAAAAACCTCAAGCATTTCTTCTTCCCTTTCTTTCCAAACCTGGAGTCTCCAGGGAACCACATTGGGGGAAATTGCTTCTTAAAGGTGATGGAGTAGAAGCTGCTGCTTGCAGGCCCCGGCCAGTTAGGGGGAGACAGATGGGCCTGGGGGTTCTTCTGATGCACCTGAGGTCACAGCATCGACTGTGTCCAGAAGTAAAAGGAATGTTATCCAGGGATGCCACCCACTTGCAGCTCTGACCGACTCAGGGCCACCTGAGCCTCTGCACCTGCCCCCACCGGCCTCCTCGTTGTTGCTTTTCACTGTTGGGCATTGCCCGTTTTTGCCTCTGTTCGGCTCTCTCAGCTTCTGCTCCTACCAACAATAAGTGAAAGTCACAAGTTTGGGTCCCCCCACCCCCCTCTTATCAGCATACTTAAATATTTTCCCTCCCTCCCTCCCTCCCTCTCTCCCTCCCTCCCTCCCTTCCTTCCTTCCTTCCTTCCTTCCTTCCTTCCTTCCTTCCTTCCTTCCTGCTTTTTGGGTCACACCCAGTGATGCTCAGGGGGTTACTCCTGACTCTGCACTCAGGAATTACTTCTGGCGATGCTCCAGGGACCATATGGGATGCTGAGAATTGAACCCGGGTTGGCCGTGTGGAAGTCCTTCCAGATACCCTACCTTCTGTGCTATCGCTCCAGCCCAAATATTTTCATTCTTGCAAATCTGAGGGCGTAAAGTGTGGTATTCGGGGCTGGGGTGATAGCACAGTGGGTAGAGCATTTGCCCTCGTACAGCTGACCCGCGTTTGTATCCAGGACCCCATATGGCCCCCTGAGCACTGCCAGGAGCAATTTCTGAGCGCTGAGCTAGGAGTGACTCCTAAGCACTGCTTGGTATGGCCCCCAAATAAACAATCCCCCCTCCCCCAACAACAAAACGCATGGTATTTGTTTGGACTGGAGGGGAAAGCAGGAGGGAAGGCGCTTGGCCTTGTGTGTGGCGGTGGCAGTCGCCACCTTGGTCCAACCGCCTGAGGACCACCAGGAGCACAGAGGCAGGCATTGCCCCTGAACGCAGTGTGACCCAACTCCCGCCCACCTCCAGGCTATCCTGTTAGATTCTTTCAAAACTTTTGTTTTCGTTTTTGGTGTTGCACCCCGCTGTGCTCAGGACTTACTCCTGACTGTGCTCAGTAGAAATAGGTCCCATCCCATTGTTTTCAGTACCTGACTCAGTTGTCACAGTACTGTTTATTGCATATTCTGTCTGTCTGTCTGTCTCTCTCTCTCTCTCTCTCTCTCTCTCTCTCTCTCGGGGGGGGGGGTGATCATTAAAAAAGCCACCTTTGTCACATACTAAATTCCTATGTGTTCTGTGCTGAACTTCCTTGTTTGTTTACTGATTGATTGACTAGTTGATCGATTAATTGCATTGCTGGGAATTGAACCCAGGGCCTCAGACATATGAGGCTTGTGCTCCACCATGGACTTACTTCCCTGATTCTTCCTGGTTCGTTTTCTTTACTTCCACTTATTCGTGCATCAGTGCTACGTTGCTTTCACTGTAGCTTTATTTTATGTCTTAATATACTTTAGAAATTTAATCCTTGCTTAGACATACACACAGAACTCGTTTAGCGTTTCATGACTGTCCTTGTGATGTTCATTTCCTTTATACATTTCAGAATGATTTTCTTCGAGTTCTCATAAGCTAAAAATATGACATGTTTTGGGTGTTTTTTTTTTTTAAAACTGAATAGCGTTTATATTTTTGCATAGAAAGAAATGCCATCTGCCCTGGTGTACTCACTCGGGCAAGAGGGGAAGGAATCTAAATATAAAGTTGTGCGTTCGTGTTGGGAAAACATCAGTTCACAGGATGTAGTCGCTTATTAAACAGCGAGTTCAGTCCGTGTGCCAGAGACTAGTTCACGGACGGGGGAGAAAACAAGTGAATTGAGCATCGGTTGCACTCTTGTCCGTTTCTTAGGGAACGGGTCCGAGAGAGCACCTGGGGCTGAGAGCAGGCCCTGTCCTCGGGGCTGGGTTAGATCTCAGGCAGTCGGTGTCCCATACCCCTCGGGGACCAGTCCCGAGCAGAGCTAGGAATAGCCCCCATCACCAGTGGGTGTGGCCCCCCAGTCCAAAGCAAGTAGCTTCACATCTGTGAAGTGGTTTCCTTTCCCCTCGCCCATTCCCCACCAGGGCCGAGAGCCACCTGGGGTGGTGGCACAGTTGTCCGCACCTGAGCCAGAGGATGTGCAGAGACATGGCCGGGGGGGAACTGGGCAGCCTGGGAGAAACGGGGTGCTGTGAGTTATGTGTGAGGCTGAGTGAGATCCTCCCAAACGCTCAGGGCCCTGCCTGGCACCCGCTGGGGTTCTGTGGCTGCTAACTGGTATCATTTCTATTGGCGGTAGGAGCCCACTGGTCCAGTCTCTTACATTCACTTCCTGGTTCCATGTCGAAAGCGCAGTTGAGAAGGAGTCTAGAGGAGGGCAGCCTCCTGGTAAGAACAGTGAGCCAACCTTTGTATGGCGACCATGAAGCAAATACGAAACGAGGAGACCAGATTCTTACTGTGGGTTGTGCGGGGAGTTGGAGGGGAGGGAGGGGGGGACAAGCTGGTGGGAAAGGCCAGCACCTCTGCCCCACAGTGCACTGTCAGCATGAAGGAAGCCCCTCGTTGGAACGTTCAAGAAGAGTCTTGCTTGCCCTTTGTTAGGGGAACTGCAAAAACCAATTTTTTTTTTGTTGTTTTGATTTTTGGTGGTAGTGGGGGCAGCATACTTGGTGGTCCTCTCGGCTGCTCCTGGTTCTGTGCACGTCAGCAGGGGCGCTTGGGAAATTCCATCTGTGTCCCTGCACGCACAGCATGTGCTCTGCTCCTGGAGCGCTTTCTCTGGCCCAAGAATTCCTGGATTTGGCAGATGAGGCTAAATGAAAATGTGGGTTTTCCTACACATGCACGTGCTCTGTCGATGTACGTGCACAGTCGCAAACTCTCTGCAGTGCGCCCTAGGTGGGCCCAAGGGTAGATCTCTCAGACCTTCCCCGATCCCTCTGTGAGTGGGAGGATGAGACGGCGCTGCCTGCCCTGGGTGCCTTGTGACGCCAGTCATCATCAAAAGTTGGGAAAATGGAACGGTGGAACGGCAGCGAGGCCAGGAACCAGCCTGCTCACTTCTCCCTGTGTCCGTGTTGCCTTGGAAACGTGTCCCTGGTCTTCTTTGGAACACCTTTTTTGTCCGGAGTCTTCATCCTTGCTTCCTTCTTTGGGCTAAGTCTTTCCAGGCACAAATGCTTGATGGGAGGGTTCCTCATGCGTAGAGTGTCTGGAGCTTTTTTGGAAGGAAGATGCCGTTCAGGTGACAAGCTTGGAGCTAGGTCTGTGACCCGCATCGTCTTGGCCATGCTCCATGCAGCCCTTTCCCATGACCCTCCTCTCTCCTGCCACTCGCTCATGGTTTGCCTGTCACCGTGGTGTGCCTTGTAAACGCATGAAAGTGCTAGCCAAGCGAGTACTTGGGTTTCAGACCCACCTCCCTCTCCTGTGAGCAAGCTCTCGTTCAGTTGTTTGACTCCCGTAGTTAGGTTTGTCTTGTTTTTTTTGTTTTCTTTTTTTTTTGGTGGGGGGCGGGCCACAAACCCAGTGGTGCCCAGGGCTTAACTCCTGGCTGTGCTCTGGGATCATCACTCCAGGAGGTGGGGGATCGGGGACCAGGTGAGACCCAGGCATGAAACCTGGGTTGGGCGCATGCCAGGCAAGCAGCCTGCCGACTGTGCTGTTGCCCAGTGATTAGGGTTTGTACCATTTTCTGCTGTCACCCACGCTGTGTTTAGTGGGGCAAGTGCAAGACGCCTCTGATCCTGTTGGTCCCTGAAGCCCGGTTTCTTCTGTTTCCAGTGAACGATGACCCCGTGGCCGTCACCGATCCTGAAGACGCCTCAGTGGTCGTCGTCGGCGTGACGTCCCCGCCCGCTGCCGTGGCCAGCGTGACCGCGAACCCCGCCATCGCGTCCCTCCCAGGCCCTGCTGTGCCAGCCGAAGGAGAAGAGCCCGGCACCTCGAGCGCGCCACAGCTGCCCGCTTCTGTCCCTGCCCTCGACGTTCTGCCTGCGGGGTGAGTAGCCCCTGTCCCCGCTGCCCCCGGCCCCCTCACGCAGACCGAGTAGGGCTCCCTCCCAAGGCACAAACAACGGGGAGATTTATGGCCCCGCGGCCGGTGGTCTCCGGGGAGGCGGCCGCCGAGTAGTGCCGTGCAAGAGCCGCTTGTTCAACATAAATCTTCACGGCGTCTCGGCTGTCTGGGGCGCGAATCAATGCCGCCTCACACTCTCCGGGACCGCGGCGTCTGCAGAACAAGGAGCTCATTCTGTCCTCCGGCACCGTCGTCGGAGGGTGTTTGCCCAGAGCCTGCCCGGTAACGGCTGTTCTCTGCTGAGGTTTCCAGCAGCCTGTGGGTCCCTGCGTCTCCCGTCGGCCCACTGGCTTGCTCGCCCCCTCCCCTTCCGCACCAAGTCCGATGGGGAAGGCCTCGGGTGAACTGATGGAGGTGGCAGTGTTGAGCCCTGGATGAGGCGGGGCCCAAGTGTGTGGGCACAGGAGTGCGCTCGCTCGGGTCTCCATTCCCGTCACCCCCAGCAAGACCCGGCTGAGGGCTTGGCTGGTTTGGTGAGGTGGCAGGAGCAGCCACACACGCCTCCCCAGGAAAAGAAGCTCCTGGTTGGCGGTACCCCCCAGTTTTCCGCCCCCCAAAAGGTGGTCGAGGGACCGTGAAGGAAGTGAATGGCTTCGAACTGGAAACTGAAGTCTTGTCTCCTCACCTGGCGGCCTCAGTCAGGGCCAGTCTGCCTGTGGGCCTGCTGGCCACCCTTGTTAGCACTGCGGTACTGAGGAAATTATTGCCACTCTGGCCACAGTCGCGGTGGCCTGGCCGTGGTGATTCGGGTGGGAAGAGGAAGCCCCAGCTCACCACGCCCCACGCTGTGCAGGGTGCCGGGCCCTCCCTGAGCCACTAAAGAAAACCCACTTTCTCTCTCAGACTCGGACCCGGGACTCACAGATGGTGTTTGCCGTCCACACGTGGCACCATAGCATCGGGCACACTCCCCAGCTCGTGTTTCCTAACAAAAACACAGTGAACAAGTGAAAAGTGTCCAGGGTTGCCTGGAGCACGGTGTCCTGCCCAGCTGTGGAGAATCGGGAATTGCGGGGTGCGGGGGGTGAGTCGCAGGGACCTTGTAGCGGGGGAGCTCCAAGAGGGACCCATGGGGTGCTGGCTCCGTTGGAAGGATTAATAACCAGCCACTCGTGCCCGGCTCTTCCCTACCCGAGACGCCTTTTCTCTTTCTGTGTGGTTAGGGATACTCGAAAGATCTCCCGTTGGCTTTTAATTTTCAACCTGCACGCTATAATTTGGGGAAAATGGAGCAGAGTCGCTTTGGCAGAAAGGAGGGAAAATGGCCGCCGGTGTGCCCCATGAGCTGTTCTGTTTTCTTTCTGCCGAGCAAATGCCTGGAAGGCCACCGCCCGCACCCTTAGCCACAGGCAGGCAGGCCCGGGGCTCCCCCAGGCCTCAGGGAGGCGCGTGTGTGAGGGTCACTGTTCTCATGGATTGGGCTCTTCCTGTTTCCAGGCAGCTGGAAAACTCCAGGCCCTGAAAACGCTCTTTATTCACCTCTGGGGGACGCCCGCCACCCCCCACCCCGCCCCCAAGGCGTATCCCTGCCCGCACCACCCGGGCAGAAACACTTTCCTGAGGTAGAGTTTGCATTGCATTTTTCCCTTAGGCCTCTTAGAACCCCGGGAGGCCTCTGCCCACGGGAACACGCTTCGCTGTCCAGTGGGTGTCCAGCCCTCGTTTCCCAGCCAAAACCAGCCCCTAGGGGCCGGTCAGTAAGAGCAGAGGGAGTGCTGGCCCTCTACAGTCTCTGGGCCTGGTTGGGGGTGGGCTGGGGGGCTTGCCATGGGTGGTCGTGGCTGTCTTGGACACTTCCCCTCCCCTCCCCAGGCGCGCCCCCGTCAGCCCTGCTGGGGTATGGGGTCAGGAGGCCCAGAGGGAGGGTCTCTTTCTGCTGCTGCAGAGCCTCAGAGCCTCCATGAATGACAACCTGGAGCGTGTCAGTCCCTCAGCATGCCACAGTTGAGGCCTGAGAAGCCCCTCAGCGCTACCCTGACAGCTTGATCTTCTCTCACACAGCCTCCATCCTGCTTCTCCTCACGGCGCCCTCGCTGGTCTGCCCCCTGACTTCCTCCCTCAGGCCCTGTCCAGCATCAGGCTCACCTTTCCCTTGGGCAGGGGTCCTGGGTTCCCACAGCGCTGTCCATGCCAGGGCCACAGCACGCCTGGCACCAAGGAGGTGTGTGAATCCCAGTGCCATCGGTTGCTCTCCTTCGCCGTGGGGGAACCTTCTCTGCATCTTTGATGCCCCAAAGGGCAGCTCTGCGGACTCCTATGTTTTCTTCCAGAGAGCAAGAACCCAGCACCCTCATTCTTGGGCGTTTTAGTTTTGGGGCCACGTGTAGGGGTGCTGGGGATGGCAGCTGGGGCTCCCACATGCCCAGCAGCCTGCTGGCCATCTCCTGGCCTCGGCAGGGGATGGACGTCGGGAGGGGGGCTTCCTCTGAGCACTGCCTGCCCTCGCCGGGAGCCCCCAGGGCTGGGGAGACCGGGAGTGTCTGTGCTCTGTGAAGGCGGCTGGGCCAGGCTTGGGCTGCCCCCTAGACGGCTCCTCAGCCCACCCAGTGATTCAGCGGGGCTCGTCTGGGGACCCCAAGGGCCTGTGTTCTTTTCAGATGGCAACTTTGCTTCTCAAGTCAGTAGTTGAGGAGAGAGACAGTTCACCCCAGTCATGTGTCCACATGCACACCTGTATGTGTCTGGACGGGGCCGTCATCTGTTTCAGGGACGGAAGGCTCCCGAAGCCAAGTTGAAACCCAGCACCTCTTCCGGACTGTCCCCTCCCCCCTCCCGCTCCCCGTCCCTTTTCATTTAACTGTCAGCAGAGCAGCCCCCTGGCAGGGTCACAAATGCTCAGCAGAGAAGGGGTTGCCGGGAAGCCTTGGGAGAGCTGGCGGGGGGAACACTGGGGTGCAGGCCGCGGGACCTGAGAGGGGTCCACTTGGATGGCCCGCCCCACATCTGGTTTTCATCAGCCCGCGCCCACTCAGGGGGCCGAGTGCTCATTAACAGGCCATGTGTACATGGCTTAGATAAACGCCGAGTGTGTGCGGGGCCCAGTGCCCGCGCACAGAGGGGGCTTTATTTCACGCTGGCAGCCAAGCTCGGCTCCGGCTGCTCACAGAAGGGCGGCCCTTGTGCTCGGCTGCAGACACGCCCGCCCCCCGCTTCACACCAACACGCCCCTGTCACCGGGGGCCAGAAGCCACGAGATCTGCAGGAGAATCCATGAGCCCCAGGCCCTAGGGTGCACACATATGAGCGTGCGCACACACGCGTGCTTGCCCACGCACACCACACGCACACACATTTGCATACACGCCTACACGTCTGCACATACCACACACACACACACATGCATGTGCTTACACATGCACGCACACGTGCACACAGATGCACGCATACATGCGTGTGCATAGACATGTATACACGCACACTCAATGCATACATGCTTACGCACGCACATCACACCGGTCTGCACACACACATGCATACATGCACACGCACACACACACGCACACGCACACACATGCACACTTGCACACTCCCACCTTGGGAGGGCCAGAAACCCATCCTCCAGGTGGTCCTGGAGACAGTTGTCAAGTGTGACCGCTTGTAAGGCGCCCCAGCTTGGCCCAGTTGTCAAGAGGTTTCCAGACTAGGGTTTGGAACTGCTCTGCTAAACTATAAACCAGCCACTGCCATTAAATTTCCTTCCAAGCTTGGTTTTGGCACAAAAATCCTTTCTCAAGAGGTTTGAAGCCAGAGCTTCTCAAACTTCCTATGGAGAACCAGTCCTTCTCCACCCCGCCCCGTCCTGCTCCTGCTTCACTCGATTTCTGGAATTTTCAATCTCTTATGAGTTCCTTTGTTCTTGGCTCTTCCACGAGAGATATAGACTCATCGGAGCTGGAGGGTGTGGCTGTGATGTGTCGGTACTGGAGTTTTATTTCCAATATGCTTATGGTCTCTAAGTTCTTTACTGGTTCCTGAGGAGGGAGTCCGGGCTGTGGACCTTAGTTAGAGTAGCGTGGGATTGAAGGGTCTTACTGGGTGATCAGGGCCATTTTGCCGACTGTGTACTATTCCTGGACTCTGTGAGGGTCATCACCCGTGGAAGGGAAGCCTAATGGTGTCCCTGGCCTCCCTCTGGACGAATACCTTGTTTGTGCTAACCCCACTCACATTGGAGGCTGACCTACCAGATGAACACCCTTTTTTCTGTGTGGAGGGCTTTGTGTAACAGTGAGTTTTCTTTAGTGGGGATAACGTCCTCGTCACATAGCCCCTGGCATAATGCTTGGCATCTAGAGAGCTGGAGGGAGATGTGGTGGTTAAGTGACGGGATGAATGATTCCATTCTCTGTAGCCTGTTAGCCATTTTAGTCTTCTTTTTTTCTCTTTTCTTTTTTTTTTTTAATCAAGAAAAAAAATCGAGGAGAACCACAAATACCCAACCAGCTACTATGACAAACATCCCCCAGGCTGAGCCGCACGTGCCTTTCCTGGACCACGGGTCGGTCTTGTCTGCCTCCTCTGTCACTCACTGGGCTCGGTGTTTGCACGTGGTGCAGACAGGCCACGGACTGTTCTGTGCCATCTCACGACGCTGCAAAGGAGCTGCGGTTCTCCTTCCTTTGCCCCAGGCCACATGTACTGTCATGCACACACACGCCTCTACCAAAGTTGGCTCACTTTAGGGATTGTACTTGTAAAGTTAAATTATAAAAAGTATTTGGGGGATTCAGAGAAAAAGTGCAGTGGGTCAGGCGCTTCCCTTGCAGGTGACCACCCCACGTCCATTCTCTGGCACCACATGTGGTCTCCCGAGCACTGCCAGTGGTCCCTGAGCACAGAGCCAGGACCACCCAGCCCCCCCCCCCACTTCCCCCACCCCCAAGCCCCAAATATTTTAAGCATATAAGACTGGAGGGTGATAT